TTAAATCATATATCATTATTTAAATCGAAAAATATATATTAAGTAATTGAAGTAAATGTAAATCGTATATTATTATTTAAATTAAAAAATATATATTAAATTATTAAAATAAATGTGAATCATATATCATTATTTAAATCGAAAAATATATATTAAATAATTAAAATAAATGTAAATAAAGTTAATTTACATGTTATAATTTATATTAAATAATTAAAATAATTGTAAATCATATATCATTATTTAAATCAAAAAATATATATTAAATAATTAAAATAAATGTAAATAAAATTTTTTCAATTCTTTCATTTTCTTCTTTTTTTTCTTTTAGGAGCATTAGAAGCGGAAGAAAGTAAAGTAATGCGTGCACAAGTGGAAGTTTCACAAATACGTTCAGAAATTGAGAAACGAATACAGGAGAAAGAAGAAGATTTTGAAAATACTCGACGTAATCATCAACGTGCATTAGAATCAATGCAAGCATCATTAGAAGCTGAATCAAAAAGCAAAAATGAACTTTTACGTATAAAGAAAAAGCTTGAATCTGATATTAATGAGCTTGAAATTGCACTTGATCATGCTAATAAAGCAAATGCTGATGCACAAAAGAATTTGAAACGTTGCACGGAACAAATTCGTGAAATTCAATTACAGGTTTCTTTTTTTTCTTTAATCAATTTAAAATTATATAAAATTAATGAAATGATTAAAATGTTATCATATTTTATCATATTATTAGCATATTTAAAATTATATATGCAAAAAAAAATTAATGGAATTGATCAAAATATTATCATATTTTTGGTAAGTTTATCATTTTATTTGTTAATAATTTAAAACAAAATTAGCCTAAGTTTTATATGAAATTAAATTAAAATTATTGGAATTGAATAAGGATTTTAGTATATTTTCCAGTATTTTCAAAAAAAAATTGTAAAAAAAAATTATTTAAAAGTATAGAAATAATTTGAATTTCAGTCAGAAAAAAAATGATTAAAACTAAATTTCGTATTAATAAATCTTGTAGAATTATAAGAACAATTCGAGTTTAAAAAAATGATTAAATTAAATTTTTATATTAATAAATTTTGCAGAATTGTAAAAATAATTTGAATTTGAAAAGAAAATAATAAAATTAAATTTTTATATTAATGAATTCTGCACAACTATAAAAATAATTTGAAATTTAAAAAAAGTAAATTAAATTTTTGTATTAATAGATTCTGCGGAACTATAGAAATAATTTGAATTTAAAAAGAAAATAATTAAATTTAAATTTTTATATCAATAAATTTTGCAGAATTGTAGAAATAATTTGAATTTAAAAGAAAAAAAACTAAAATTAAATGTTTGTATTAATAAATTTTGTATTTTTATATTAATAAATCCTACAAAACTATAGAAATAATTCGAATTTAAAAAAAAATTAATTAAATTAAATGTTTATATTAATAAATTTTGCTAGATCGAAGAAGAGCAACGACAACGTGATGAAATGAAGCAACATTATTATACTGCTGAAAAACGTGTACAAATTTTGGAAGCTGAAAAAGATGAAATTACCCAATCATTGGAACAAGCTGAACGAGCCAGACGACAATCTGAATTAGATGCTAGTGAAAGTCGTGATCAAGCTAATGAATTAAATATGCAAGTTAGTAATTTGAGTGCTGCAAAAAGGAAAACTGAAGGTGAATTACAGGTATGATTTTTTTTTTTATCATTTACAATTATCATTCATTTAGTTATTATTATAAAATTACAGGTAAAGAAAAAAAATTATATAATATTCATTATAAATTGTTAATTTGCTAATTTAATTGTTAGAATTATTTTCAGTAATTTTAAAAATTTATTTATGTATTGAAAGAAATTTTCTTTCTATTATTGTAATTTTTAAAGTTTCAATCATTTTTCTTTTCTTTTTTTTTTTTATTAAATCATTTCAATAAGTAATAAAAAGTTAGAATGATGACATTTATCAGTTGACATCATCTATTTCCGGATTCCGGATTAGATAAAATGTAATTTACAAATATAAATATAATTTGTATGAAAATTTAAAATTCCTTTCTATTATTGTGAATTTTAAAGTTTAATCTTTCTTTTTTTTTAAAAATCATTTCAATAAGTAATAAAGAGTTGGAATGATGACATCTAATAAATGTCATCATTCTAACTCTTTATTACTCATTGATTTTATCAGATGATATTTGACATTTATCAGTATGATATTCGACATTTATCAGTATGATATCAGCTATTTCCGGATTCCGGCTTAGATGAAATGTAATTTACAAATGTATATGAATTGTATGAAAATTTAAATTTTCTAGGCTATTCACGCAGATATGGATGAAACATTAAATGAATTTCGAGCATCAGAAGAACGAAGTAAGAGAGCAATTGCTGATGTTGAAAGGCTTGCCGAAGAATATCGTCAAGAACAGGAACATGGTTTACATATTGATCGTATGAGAAAAGGCCTTGAGGGACAAATTAAAGATATGCAAGTAAGTTTTTCTTTTTTTTCTCTCAAAAACAATTTAAAATGAAATTCAAAAAATTTCAATTATTTTTTTATTTTTTAAATTCCTTTTTCACATTTATTTTCTATTTTTTTCTTTTGTTTGAAATTTTGTTATTTTTAAAAATAAACAATATGAATGTAATGTTTAGATTTGTTTATTTTTAATGAATGATTTTAATTAATTAATATGTTTTTGAGTTTAAATATATCACAAAATACTTTGTTCCATTTTATTTTATTTTATTTCATTTTATTTTATTTTATTTTATTTTATTTTATTTTATTTATTATTTATTATTTATTACTTTTTATATAAGAATAAATTTTTTAAATTTCTTCTTCACATTTATTTTCCTTTCAATTTTTTTTTTTTGTTTTTTGTAAGAAATTTTGATGTTTTTAAAAATAAATAATGTAAATTTAATGTTTAAATTTATTTATTTTTAATAAATGATTTTAATTATTAAAATGTATTTGAGTTTAAACATGTCACAAAGTATTTTATTTTATTTATTTATTTATTCATTTGTTTTTTTCTTAAACAAGGTTAATTTTAAGTATTTCCAATTTGCATTAATAATTATTCATTTAAAAAATTGGTCATAAATTAATAAAAGTTAGTTAAATTAAAAATGATAGAAAGCAACTTTTAGTACAATTCAAAATAAAGTAGCCTGATGAAATTGTATTTTATGCTATATATATATATATACATATATATATATATATATATATATATATAATTATAATTAATT